GGGCAGGGATGTTAGAAAAAGACATTGATGGATCACTCTTGTGGTGTATGTGTGGGTTATTCAGATGGAGTCACACACAAGCTGTGCAAAGCATCACAGTTTCTGCAAGTCACTTTAAAAGCTGGAAAATACTGCTTCTAACTCACTTCTAGCCATAATGAATAAAGCAGCAATTAGGGAGGCGGTGTATTTACAGACAGAGACATCCATATTAATTGGAATAAATCAAAAGAAAAAAGACTAGGAAACAGCACAGGGATGTGTATATGTCCACTTTTGCAAGATAGTTAATAAACATAATTTTTTGTGTTTGGTATTACCAGCATAGATGATGTGAGCCGTGACAGTACTTAATTTCCTCGCAGATGCTCTGCCTGTGGCTTCAGGAGTGTTAGCCAGGAGTGCTAGTTTTATATTAAAGAACAAACCTCAAGTCATGGTTCAGAAGCCAATGTCACAAGTGCCAAGTTCACTCTGCCATGGGCAGATCCCTAGTCCTTTCTCCTGACTTTTTTCTAAGAAATGAGGGCAATGCTGTAGAATTATCGTGGCTCTGTGTGGTGGTTTTAATATATGTAAAATGCCCCGGGCGGGGCCAAATGCCTGGAACATGAACCTAAGTGGCCACACCAACTTTTATTACTTGGGCATTGGTGAGTTGTCACACAGTCGTGCTAGGAAAACAGATGGAGACTGAAATGAAACAAGATGTACAACGATCTCCCACATCTCACAAGGGCAATCGACATGTCTTCCTCGAGAATGAAGGGGGCACAGATAGACCAAATCACCCCCTTTGGATATCTCTTAAACACACAATTCCACAAAGTTGTGTGCTATTTAATTCTCAGACGCTATCATTCAGATAAAATACAAGATGTCAAGTTAAATCTGAACTTCAAATAAACTGCAAGTAAAGACTTAATATAAATATGACTGACTTAAAACTTGGGATACACACAAACACACACAACCACACACACAACACACACACACAACTATCCATTGTTTACTAGAAATTCAAGTTTGACTGAGTGTCCTGAATTTTTAGCTACTTTATTAATAACCCAGAAATCTAGACAAATGTGCTAAATTGGCTACTCCAATTTTAAAAGAAAAGAAAAGATGAACCTATTTGATTGAAATGAATGTCTTAAGGAACAGGATGGCCAATGGGGACAACATGGACTTCAGTATGAGACTACCCTGAGCATTTATCACTGACTGACTTCCAACAAATTACTACACCCTCAAATGTGACAGTGTCCTACCTCCTCTTCCTTGGTGCAGGGTGAACAGACAGCCCTACCTCTCCGTTTGTCTTCATGCTATGCAGGCTGAGGGGATTGGACATGTCCATAATGGTTGTCTAGATCAAAGAGCACAGTTTATCCTGCACCAGCTAAACAGAGTTGGACTTCTCCCCCACTGACACCAGATGCCCCAGATGCCCCCGCTGCGGACCACCTCCCGGTTCTGCTCTCTGCTCTGATATACATAGACATTCACCATCAACGGCTGGCCAAACAGTTTTCAATTCCAACAGTGTAATATTTAAATGAAAGTCTTTGAAATTCAGACTGTGATTTCATGTTTTTATTCTTTTTGAACTTTAGCCACCGATGTATAAACACATCTATTTCTTTTTTAACAAATCTATTTCTAATTATTATGTAACACTAAACACACACACGTATTCTCTTAGCTTTAAAAATGGGCAAAATGCCATCATTCATTAAATCAATATTTTCTAAAGAAAACTGTTTGCCAGTATAATTTGAGGGGCTAGCTCTCCCTACTATTGTAGAGTTATGCCATAAGGGGATCGCTGTCTAGTGTTCATTTTCCAAACTGCCTCACTGACAATATGCTGTTCAAGCTTCCATTCAGTACACCTTATCTTTTCTCTACACACTGTGATTTCTCTGAAGGAAAATTAACCAAATATTTTGGCAGTTTAACTAGTGGGAAGTGAAGAATTAAGATTGTAGATACAAAGGTGCTGTAATTGTGTTCTAATCAGCTTATTAAATATAACATGAACATGTATCCATCAACTCATATTTAATTTCATGGTCTATGATTCAAAACTTTTCAAATCCATAACAGTACAGAGCTATCAGCATTTACCTAACAACTCGTTTCCTATTTTGTTTTAATTCATGTAAACCATTTGAATGCTGTATGTCATATCCTTGTGGACTGGAAGAAGACTTATTTAGGAAATTTATTAAGATACTGTTTTTTAGAATTTATCTTGTCTTACCTACTAATACTAACTCATCCCAAAACAGAAATGATCTGCACACACATGTGTGTATCTATGTATGCGTGCATATACAGACACCACAAATTCTTTGTTAAGGGACAAATACAAGATTTGTTTAAAAATCTATTTCAAATATTTCCATTCCCAGCAGACATAAACCCACTGATGAAACAAAATACTGAGTCTAAACTTGTTTTAAGTTGTTGCTGCAGAAAATGCAAACAACTTTTTATAAATCTCATTTAGAAAGTAAATTTCCTAATTGCACATTCATTTGGGAGTATTCTACAAAGATTTCCCATTACAGTCATATTTTGACATAGTTTTCTGTTTTCTTCCTATTAAGACAATGATTTTTCATGATTTGAATGTTTGCATTTTTCACAGGATAATTTAGGTTATCAATAATTCTATTTTTTGTTGGGGGAATATGAAAATAATTTAAAAACTCTGTGGATTCTCTTTATGTCATTTTGCTTCATGACAAAAAAAAAAAAAACTTTAGGTTTAATGGATCTGTTCTAACCACTATTTTTTTTTTTAACTCAAGTGAAGAAGGGCCTAAGGGTTAGGGTCATTAACATCCTCTACTGAGACAAAAGATCTCACTATGGTTGCTAGGATACCAACAGATATATTCATTAATTGCAGTAAGAAACAGTTATTACAGATGTCATCACACAAAACAGCATACTACAACAACAACTATAATGCAAACAAACAGGGATCTAAGAAATCCCTGCCCTCAAGGAGCTCAATACTTCTGCTCCTCTAAAAAGTGCAAAGGACCTTCTCAATAAACGTTTCTTAAAGAAATAGAAATAGAGAGACACCAGAGAAGAAGGGAGTTAATGCAAAATGTGAGACAAGCAACAGGCCAAGCGTTTGACCCTAACTAGAGGGTCAACTATTATTGCAATGGCTTGTGAGGAAAACTAAAATGATGGGTACTAGGTGTCAGTTGCTGGTCTAGCTGTTCCACAAAGGGCAGTTTGTAACGCAAAGCCCTGGCCCTCGGGGAGCTGAAACTCAGTGTAGGCTCAACACAAACACTGTGTATTTCTCCACCCATGCATATGTGCAAGTATTAAGTACAGTGTGGGCCTGTAGTAAGGAATAGTAGACAGCTCAGAGAAGAGCGTATGTATTTACAAAGTTATTGCCAAGTATTAGGCCAAGGATGAGCAACATTCAAGGAGACTCGTGTTCTGTGTACTCAGGTTTACTCAAGAGAGAGATCCAGTGAACACGACATGAGGGATTCCAACGCGCTCACTGCCTTCCTCACCTTGACAAGATGGCACCACCTGTGCAGTGAACGGCACCACCAACCTCTTCTAAGCATTAATTATTTGCGAAGCATTCAGCGGCCTGCCTGGCAAACCTTTTAATATCACAGTGGAGTGCTCAGGTCACAGAGCAACAAAGACATGGAGTTGGGGGCAACGGAGCACAGAGGGGATGGGAGACGATGAAAAGGACTTCAGAGAGATGGAGAGAGAAAAGGGAGGGATCGTGTTCACACCTAACGTTGTAAGTTGCACTTGCATCATGGAAAGTTTTCATAGGAAAGAGAACATCCAGTAAACTAGCAAAGAATGGAAGTAGGTAGTCACACATGCACATGGAAAGGAAGGAAGGAGGGAAGGAAGGAAGGGAGAGAGAGGGAAACGGAGAGAGGGAGGAAGAGAGAGAGGGAGGGAAGCAGGGAGGGAGGAAAGAAGGAAGGAAGGAAGGAAGGAAAAGAGAATCCTTGAAAGCAACAGGTGAACTAGAAAGAACTCAGTTCTTGGGAAAGGTAAGGAAGTTCTTCAAAAAGAAGTGTTTAGAAATACAGCCTCAAGAAATACTGTACTAAATTCACTGGGCATCCACTCTGCTACGTATTCACACCACCAAGATCGCACATCAAATAATCACGTGCTCCACTGAAATTATAGCAATTTCCCCTTACCTTGGGGGTGGGGGTCACTGGCCTCAACAAATAAAGTCTCCATGTGAAATAACAGTAATTACAATAATAGCAGCTATTTTTGTGTCATGCGGGATTCCTTTACATTTCATCCTGGGAAGATACTGTCATCCTAATTCTACCGGAAAAAAAAAAAAACCCCATCCACTGAGAGATTGAGTGGCTTGCCTAAAGTCATCTCACTCTGGTCCAGGCTAGGACTCAGATCCATTCACCAAAGCTCCCAAACCCCTGCTTACACTCAAATCTTCTAGCGAACACTCTGCCTTCCTGAGGCGGAGTATCTGGTGATGTTCTCATGAAGTATTTTTTAGTTTTCTCTTACTTTATATGTATGAATGCTTCGCCTGCACGTCCATGTGTGCACCTCATACTGGCTGATGTCAGAAGAGGGTGAAGTATCTCTGGGAGCTGAAAGTACGACGGCTGTGAACCGCCTGTGGGTTCTGGAATTGAACTTGGGCCCTGTACAAGAATGATCAGTGTCCCTAACTTATGACTATCCCTCCATCCCTCCCATACAACAAATAAACTACAGTACCCTGAAATACATGTCCCCAAAATCATTCTTGTGTTCATCCTTGTTTCCTGCACGACAAGTACTGCCCAGTGATGGCCCACGAGCCCGTCAAATGACAGTACGGCATAAGAAGAATATATCTATCTGTGAAGTCTGAGAGGCATGAGCTCTATCGGACCCTTGATACACGGCCGGGGCGCCGGGCAGCCTTGCTGCAGCCCTTGGAAGTGCAGGCTTACCTGGGTCATTGTGGGAATGAGGCACCACAAAAACTTGAAGGGGCTCAGTGTCCCACTCGTCAGACTCATACTTAATGTCAAATCCTTGCTTCCAAACCCCACCATCTGGGTTATCAAAAGGGATCAGATCATAAACATCCAGCATCTAAAAAACGGGAGAGAAAAAAGGTTAAACTGTAACCATTGTTAGTCTATACTCAACGCTGGTCAATAATTGATCAAAGATAGTCTTTGCTTCCCCCCCCCCAACATGTAATCAAACAAAACTGTTTATGTAAAAACCAATTGAAACTTTCAAGGCCAAAACCATCTGCTCATCATTCCCAGGCTTGAAAGGCTGATGGTGCTACAGAACTACCCTGCCAAACAGACCCTCCCCACCTGCTTTGGATAAACGTGATTACGTGATTTCGTGTACTTGTTACAATTCTGCCCTCTCTTGCTTTTCCTGCCGGGTGATTTAATAGGAAAACAGACACACAGCAGAAGATTTCTCGAGGAATTTGGTTATGACCACATACTTCAACACTTGAAAGTGCATACTCAACTTGGCTTCTTTCTTCATTTGGGCTGCCAGATTCATAGTGAGTCTCAATGGCCTTCTTTCTAAATCTGTATCTTGCCGAGACTCACATCTATTTTTCTGTCTGTCAAATGCTGCATTTACCTTTTTTATTCTGAAATAAACATGGAATGCATTTTTTTAAAGCTGAGATTTAACTTTTAAGTAGCCAAATGTGTTTCTACAACCAGGTATATCGGTATACACCTACAGAGCCAGCATAAAGCTGAGGCAGGAGGGTCTCTACATAGTGGGACCTCATTTCAAAATCCAAGTACATGTCTTCTAGCTTCTCAATGCATAGTTCGCATAGGTGGTAATCGATTTTGGACATAAAGAAAAACAGTGTCCCACCCAAAACACAGGACTTTACATTTATACCTCATATTCTCTGTAATATTCAATGTGACGGCACAACCAAGGAAAGTTTAATTGTTAAAATTGAACAGGCTATTAAAATTACCTTAACATATTACAAAACAATAAAAGTATCAGAAAATTAAGTAACAGTGATTACTGAGTATTTTAAGACAATATCTATCTCTTGCTTGAACGAATAAAAACTAAGACTCCAAGAATAAGCTAAGAAAGCAGCAGGGCACAGCTGGGCAGAGGGAAGCAGGAACTGCTAATCCTTTCTGCAGCCCTGAAGTACATGCCTTCCCACCTCCCAGGCCAGCCCTGGGGCGGGGGGGGGGGGTCTGCACCCATATAAACAAACCAAGGACAAACAGCAAAACACTGCCTCCAGCTTACAGCTTGCCCTGTGAGCCACGGGCATATCATGTTCTACCCAACCCCATCAAAGGTGAAAAATGCCCCTCTAAAGCCTGCTAAAAGCCGTCTCATTTCACAGTTTTTAAAACGTTCACCCTTTGAAAGGGTCCTCCGTGGGTGGAGTCCACACTCCTGGTCCAAGGCCAAGGTCTAACATGGCCTCCGTGAACTTGCAAGGCAAGACAAATATCAGTAACACAGCCCAAGTTTAAGGGTCCTCCTGACCCCGGGTTTCAGTTCTATTACCCCCATAGAACATGGTTGCCCGAGTGAAAAGTCCAACATGTAATCTTCAACAGTCTAGTAAAATGAAACCAGTAAAATTACAGATTTTATCTGAATTATCCAAAACTATTATCAAACAACATATAATTAATACACAATAAAGAGACTTTATACACTAAGGCCAAAACACTATGCTTCCATTACAAACTTTCAGAGTACATCTCAAGTCAAGAGGCAACACTGAGTGCTTGCAGCTTTGTGTGGAGGACACTCTCCACAGTGGACAGCACAGTTCTAGAACATTCCCTGCCCTGCCACAGGACCTTAGCCCCAAAGGTCTACTCTCATGCTTGTACAGAGAAGGTGCACAGTGACATCGGAATGCTCTTATTTTCTCCAATAGAAAGTAATGGTATCACGTAGGCAACACTAAAGCTCTAAAGGTTTTTTCCACCGCTACGGAAGATGAAGACGAAGACAAACGGAAGCAAGCAAAATGGCAGTGCTCGGAAGAAAACAGATGGAAGCATGGGGGCAGTGAATTCTGTCACTGACGAGGAAAAATCATGGTGAGGACAAACCAACCATGGCAATGGGAGGAATCGGAGCCCAGAGCTTAAACACCTACAGAATAAGAACAGACAAAGGGGGGGGGGGCCGCTGGTCACCCTGGCCTCTGTGGTACCTGCACATCCGGATGCTGACTTCCGCTCTGTGAGGAGAACAAGCAGTCTTTGGGGTCAGCCTGAAGGGCGGACTGTGGAGAAAGGCGTGCCGAGCCCTGGCTGCCATTGCCCAGTGAGCCTTTGGGGCCATCTTCCACAGACTCGCTCAGGTTGATGACGGAGTCGCGGATGTTGGAGATGATCTCGTTGTTTTCAGCTAGCAAACGCTCCAAATGGTCTATTTTCTCCTGCAGTATCGAAAGCTGGCCCTGAAACAGAGGAAGCAGCCACCATGTGAACCGTGGCGTAGCTCTGCCAAGGAGCACAGAGGGCAGCCACCAGCCTTCCCGCTGACGTGCACAGACACACAATGGAGGGAGGGGCAGCCGGGGCCAAAATGCCATTTGTAGCTGCCATCTTCTTTATATATACTTTTTTAAAATTTTTTTATGATTTTTTTTTAATTTCAATTTGAAACAAGCTTGTTTTACATGTCAATCCCAGTTCCCTCTCCCTTCCCTGCCCCCCACTACCAACCCCCATCCCATCCCCTTTCTGCTCCCCAGGGAGGGTGAGGCCTTCCATGAGGAGTCTTCAAAGTCTGTCACATCATTTGGAGCAGAGCCTATGCCCTCCCCCACGTGTCTAGGCTGAGGGAGCATCCCTCTATGTGAAATGGCTTCCCTAAGTCCATTTGTATACTAGGGACAAATACTGATCCACTACCACAGGCCCCATAGACCTAACTGACACCCACATTCATGGGCCTGGGTTGGTCCTATGCTGGTTTCCCAGCTGTCACACTGGGATGCATGAGCTCCCCCTTGTTCAGGTCAGCTGTCTCTGTGGGTTTCTCCAGTCTGGTCTTGGCCCCTTTGCTCATCACTCCTCCCTCTCTGCAATTGGATTCCAGTTCATCTTAGTGTTTAGCTGTGGGTGTCTGCTTCTGTTTCCATTGGCTACTAGATGAGGGCTCTATGATGATGGATAAGTTAGTCATCAATCTCATTATCAGGGAAGGGCATTTAAGGTAGCCTGTCCACTGTTGCTCAGATTGTTAGTTGGGGACATCCTTGCAGATCTCTGGACATTTCCCTAGTGCCGATTTATCAAATCATTTTTCTAAAATACAAGAGAATGGCCAAGCTATTTGGGGATTGTTTCCACTTCCCCCCCAAATCCAGGCCTAAGTGATCACTGATTCATGTTATATTCAAGAGTGAGATTTTTCAATTTAAGCAAAATAGACTGGAGTTAATTTGATGGGTCAAAAAAAAAGGAAAAGATCCATAAAAACTGAACAAGAGAGTCTTCCACATCAGCCTGTTAACAAATACTGGACAATCCAAAGAAAAATAAGTTCCCCAACTCTTAGCTGCCACAGAAACAAGCATGCCCTAATGTGTCACTGGGCGGCTTTTCTTTCACTGTGTGACATTCAGGGCGTGGTGTTGCTGTGCAGTGAGCCCCACATTCGAAGGCTTGCCATCCTAAGAACCTTGCTTTCCAGAAGCCTGCAGCCAGTGGCAGGAAGAGCCATCTCTGCCTTCTTCCACCCTGTGTGTGGAGTCCCAAGTGTAGGAAAGACACGCACGCATTTGTCACATTCTGAACTGAAGGCCCAGGGCTGGGCATAATGCCACACAATGGGAAGACAGAACTACCTGCAATGATGTCTGTGAATATACTAGATGACATTATAAGCAACACACACATACTGAAATAAACACACATGCACACCCGCACACAGGCACACGCCTGCACAACAGGTCCTCAAAAGCTCACCTTAGTGTTTAAAAGAATGACTATGTGCATGGTGAACAATCAACTTCCATTATCAGGAAGGCAAAAAGGAAAAAAGGAAGAGGAAAAAAAGCACCTAAATGTCAAAGGCAGTTCATCAAGGGGTAGATCCCATCATGGAATAGACTTTAGCCACTAAAAATTGAAAAGAAAAAAAAACCTTCATAATTTTAATTTTTATTATGACTGTTTTGCCTATGTGTGCCAAGTGCCCTTAAAGGCCAGAGGATGGCATCAGATCTCCTAGAACTGAAGTTACAGACAGTTGTGAGCTGTCATGTGTGCACTAGGAATTGAACTCAGGTCCTCTAGAACCAGTGCTCTCACATAACCCTAACAAAAAAACAAATTGTAATAGTAACATAAGGGTGTCTATTCCCTGGGAAGTATCAGAATAGTATTATAAAAAGCAGTAATACCAGGATGTGCCACCAAGCTTGGTGAACAGACCTCAATCCATGGGACCCAAATGGCAGAAGGAGAAAACTCAACTCCCAGAACTTGTTCTCTGACTTACACACACACACACACACACACACACACACACACACACACACATACACACACACACAGTACTAAAAACCAGTGGAGAGAGCAAGCAGAGGCAGGCTGATCTCTGTCAGTTTGAGGCCAGCCTAGTCTACAGAGCTAGTTCCACGACAGGCTCCAAACACAGAGAAACCCTGTCCTGAAAAAAAAAAAAAGAAGAAAGAAGAAGAAGAAAGAAGAAGAAGAAGAAGAAGAAGAAGAAGAAGAAGAAGAAGAAGAAGAAGAAGAAGAAGAAGAAGGAGAAGAAGCTGGGGCTTGCACAGGTGTGACCTTTGCCCCAATATGCAGCACATGCAGGATGAAGGCCTGTGGCACTGGGTGTGGTGTGGCATGTCACTCAATCCAGCAATGGGGTGGGGTCGGGGGGCAGGGTAACAGAATTACAGTTACTGAGACTGTAGCTTTGAACACTATGTGGAAGATTAAGATACCGGGTCCAAGCAACTGAAATGTTTATTCTCAAGTGGAAAAGCTTGCTATGTGATGTCTCAAATAAGATGATCACTCTAAAGCTCTCTCTCTCCTGTTATTGCCCCAAGTCTAACCCCCAAAAGTAAAAGTGTGTAAGAGTCAAACGCATGGCATCTCTGTCCACACCTTCCTAAACACTGTGGGGAGCATATGGAGACCTTGCTTCACACTCTCTCTCATAGCACAACAGACTGGGGCTGCTTCCTGAAATCGCTGTGACTCATCCTGCTGAGTTCCAGCATTGAAAACAAACAACCCTCCAACCACGACTTCTCACCACAGAGGCCACAGTCAAGCAAGTTCCCATCCCGTGCGGAACTGGAACTTCAGATTTGTCTCTTACATCTCCCTAACACGAAGCTTTAGTGTACTCTCAGAGCTTTTTATTTGTGGGTATCAGATTTTAATACATCCTTCTAGAGCTATCTGTGCCGGGAGGTAGGTTGCTTTGGACCCATGGACACAGCCAAGCTGCCTGTAGTTCACCATGCTCAGTGAGAAAGAAAAGAAGAATAGGAAAAGCTTTTGCTATGAGGTTTGCCCCCAAACCTGTGTATTATTCAATATAAACATTACCAGAGATGTTTCATGAAGAGGGAGCCAACAGACATTACAGAGGTCTTTCACTTTCACTGTAACTCTAAAGATACGATTAATGACTGGCGTGCAGGATTCGATATTAAATTAAGTGCATACAGAAAAGGATGGCCTGGGGCTATATTGGCAATCATGGTCTAATGAAAACCATTTTTAAAGTATATTACACACTGGAATCAAGTCTCCCTCCAAACAGCCAAAATCCTTAACATATGCCTCATGAACAAATTCCATACACGAGACTGAGGGGAGGGTCGTGACCATAAAGGGATATACTCAGTTTGTACTGAAGAAATAGAAATGATAGATAATGTTTCGATTATGCTGACAGGTCAACACATACTGATAATATTGAAAATGAGAGTTTTCTGCAGGGCAAGAAAATCACTTGTGAGAAAAGCACACTACCCTTGGATTCGCTAGTCAATTCTACAGGAGGCATCTGCGGTGCTGTGCTACTCTGGAACAGGGAAGAAGGTCATGTGTGATTTTCTCTGCTAGCGGGTGGATGACAGAGAAAGACACAGGGCAGCGCTAATTTAGAGTCGACAACAAGGTAGACCAGTAGACCGGGATCAGTGCCCACTCACTCCTATGAACAAAATCAATGACTGCTGAATGTGAACATACTATGTAATGATCTGCCCCAGGGAGGACACTGGCTGCTGGAGACTAGTCGCCGGGGCCACTCATGCACAGCTGATTGCAAACACCTGGAAAGATGGCTATCTTCCCCTCTACGCACCACCCCAAAGGCCTCATATCCAGAGGCCACCGTCCTCCTAACGTGCACGTCCGTCTCTGTCACCTGCTCCGAGGCTTCCTCTTGGTGCTGCTGCATCAGAGGCCCCATCCAAAGCAACCCATTCCGAGTGGTGCAGCTGCCCTGCCCTCCACTGAACCACACAGTCAGCCAGTCCCGTGACTACGGTACAATAGAGTCTAATTTTTAAATTTTAAATTAATTTATTTTTATGTGTATGGGTCTTTTGACTGAGTGTATGTCTCTAAACCACATGTGTGTAGTGTGCAGAGAGTGGAAGAGGGTATCGGATCCCCCTGGAACTGGAGGTATAGACAGCTGAGTCATCATGTGACTTCCAGGAAAAAAAAAAAAACCTGGGTCCTCTGCAAGAACAGCCAGTGCTCTTAACTGATGAGCCATCTGCCCAGTCTCATTATCCATGCTTTTAAAAGTCAGCCACACCCCTGTGCTTTTGTTAACTACTTGAGATGAGGGATGGGGATGTCATCTAACTGGACTGCAGGATCTTGAAGAGGGATAAAGTACAAGGCCCCCTGCTTCTTCTGTTAAAAGGGGAAATCCAGGCAACACAGCCCTGAAGAGCATCACAGGGATGCCCCTGTGTGCCTAGAAGGCATTTCTGGAGAACCTGGGGCCAGTGGAGTGGGTGGGGAAGATCTGCTCTCAAGTGGACCAGCAACAAGGGCTTCTCCTGGGGCAAAAATGCAGACTGAGCAAACTCTCCATTTGCCTGCTAGACACTCCAGGTTCTTCAGGCCTTTTCTCCCCAGACTCTGCCAGAGTTCAAGCTCTCAGCTTCAATGGGACACCAAGGGCGTCCCCAGGACAGGGCCTGTGGACTTGGAGTTTCTGAGGCTCTGTCATCTGTACATGGATGCGTGGGGCCTGCCTTATGAGCCTCAGCTCACTTCCGGGACCGCTGCATCAGTTCCTGTCCGTCTCACTGAACTGCCCACATAAATTCCCTAGATGCACATACTTCCAGCCTGATGCAAAGCATGCTGGGACCTCATCATCCCCAGGGCACATGCACAGCAGAGCACCCTTCACCCTGGACAGTGCCACCACTAATTCGATTCTTGG